TTTTTTTTTTTCAGAAAAAGAAACCAAATTAATGCTTTATAAATGAACCAATACCAGATTATTGGCCGATGAATATTAGGAAAGCGTGTTGAGACGAAAGATTAACACATGAAACTGCTTGTTTTATTATTAAATTTTTTCCCCCCTGAGATATATATATATACACACACACTACAGGCAATAATCTGCTCTACGTGGTCATGAACAAGGACAGGAATTCGATGATAATTTCTGGACGAAAAAGATTCTGATTCTTGAAAAAACTACTAGGGATTTCAATGCTAATTACTGCAACGGATGAGTATGGGAATAAAGAAATAATTAACTGTATCAAAGGATTTAGCCATCCTCCGTATCGATCCTCTAGTATCTGTGGCAGATCAAAATGGTACATTGACACAAATGGTTCAATTCCTGCACATAATACACACCATCTGGGTCAGTGAATTAAAAAAATAACAGTAGAGAAATAAATATATCTTAGAATACTCAAAAAAGAAAAGAAAACAAAAAAATACCTCTGAACATCAAATTGTCTATAATTTTGTTGTAAAACATTATCCCTTTTGAGTTAACATCGCCAAATTTCCCTCCTGTAGTAAGGTATATTATATTAAGCCCAACATGATATTTAATTAAGCTGGAAGAATATTAATTATATAAATAATTTAGATAAATTAATCAACAAAAGATTTATATATTTACCCGGCAGGATTCTTGTCCATGAAATTGAGAAACGATATGCATTTACTCCAAGAGAATGCATCAACTCAATGTCTTCCTGTGTGAATAAATTCCCACTAAACATTAGTGGTGACAAAAAGATAGGCAAAAAATTTAAAAGGAAAAGAAATTAAGAAAAGAAAAACCATTTCTTAGCTGTCTAGCTAGCGTTTTCAAGTAAGTGGTTGAAAAATTAATTACCAGAAAGCGATGGTAGTGGTCATCTGCAATATCTCCATTGTCATTATTCATAATATTTCCTGAAGTATAATTTGTCATGAACATACCAATATTATAAGCACATACATTTGATATAAGTGAAATGGAAAATTAAAAGAGAATTTTCTTTTTTTTTTTTGAATTAAAAAGAGATAATTTCATGAACATAATATATAATTGTGGTAAAAATGATGATTGGTCAATTTCTCTAACCTGGAATATGACTGAAGACATCCCAGCTGGAAAGACTCTTACCATCTTCAAGATATGCACCTTCGATCTGCAAATATATTATATATATGCACCCAAAAAAAGAAGACAAAAAATATCTGATAATATTATGGGGAAAATACAAAGAAAAAAGTGAAGCATATAATATAAAGAAGGATTGTATAATAAGTGCCTGATATGCTGAAGTAGCTGTTCCAAAGAAGAAGCCATCAGGGAATTGATTTCTATGGATTTCTTCATTTTCTGTGAAAGACTGGGCTAAAGGAAGAGTACTGACCAGAAGGAGAAAAAAGGAGGAGAAGAAAAAGATCTCTGCTTTATTTCTGGCTTTCATTTTTTTTTTTTCCGTTTGTGTTTTAATTTGTGTCTAATATTCTAATTATATAATTGTTTGCCCTGCACATGTGACCGATGTCCAACCGTTGCCACTACTATGGAGCCTCACATTCAAGGAAAACAAACTGGAGCAGAATTTAAATTAAAAAAACAAAAAAAGGAAAAAAAATAAGATAAATTAAATGTATACTCATGATATTTTAGGTCAATATAATATATTTATTTCGTATGTTAATATGTCCTAATCACTTTCATATTATTGATTATATGACAAACAAATTAAATGTCAAGACTGTTAATTATGGTTTGCCATGATTTTGTGCAAACATATAAGTTATATCATTTTATATAGTGAAAAAATGAGACAAATATATTTTTAAAATACATGAGTCTAGCTTTTTACCATTTATTCTTGATTAATATCATTTTAGTCAAATAATTATATTAGTCAAAAGGATATTAATCAATATTAAATAGTAAAAATTATGATTCATGCACTCATAAGAGTAATGCCATGTTTACTTACTAGGATTGAAGAATAGGAGTCAATCACATGTTTACTTGCTCTTTTTTATCCTGAAATGGGAGTGAGATTAGTGGGCCTCACTCAAATTTGGGATTGAGGAATGGGATTGGCACTCCCATGCCCCCCCTTAGGATTGAGACTCTCATTCCTAATATTAATATTAATTTACTATTATACCCTTATTTTACTTATAAATACACAATTCAAAATAAAATTCAAAAAATAATAAATGCAACATATATTTATTATTTTATTTGCCTAATATTATAATATTAGCATAATTATTGTTAACTTTAATATAATAAATATGAACTTTATTTTTAATAAATTAATAATATATTTTATTTTTTAACACTATTTTTTATTTTTATTTATTTAATTTAAAATTTAATTAAAATTTATTTTTATATTTTAAATAGTTGTACAATTTATATTTATTATTTTAGTACCCAACTATTACAAAAAATATTTTAATTATGATTAATTTTAATATAATAAGTGTTGGCCCAAGGTTGAATATTCTCATGTTTTGATGATCACAAACACAATGTATTATGTTTCTAATGATTCTATTTTGAGTTGTGTATTTAGCGTAATTAATATTATAAATCAACTTAAGAAGCATTTTGCGAAATACAATGCAAATACATTCAAGATTGACAAATGCAAATTGAAGAAGGAATTCAAGGCTTGGAGTGCTAAAATACCAAAGATCAAGAGCAAGCAAACAAAATCAAGCTGGACAAGTACTAATAGGTTTTTATTATCTCCTTAGTCTTGTATTTGATTTTGACTTCATACTATCATGATTAATTCTTGTTTAGGCTCATGCACACACTCACATTATTCTTTAAAAATGAGACTAAACTTAGTGCATAATGACATTTGGCCTAAAAGTACAAATGTGTGAAGATTTGAGGCAAATTAAGTGTTAACCGGTCGACCTATGTCGTCCGGTGACAGAGAAGGCTAAATGCACCGGTCGACCGGTGATGCCTCAACCGGTCAACCGCTTCGGTCGACCGGTTCTGTTCAAAAGTCACTCAATAAGAATGTTGAACAGCTCAAATTCAAATTTGTCTCAACCGGTCAACCGCTCCGGTCGACCGGTACTGGGTAAACGGGCAAAAATATGACCGTTGGAAAGAGAGGTTAAATAGAGAAAAGTCATTTTTCTCAATAGAAAATCCTTGCAAAAAACAGAGAACGAATTCAAAGTTTCAAAAATCAAAAAGAGAGTTCTCCATTGTGTCTACATAATCATCATCTTCTCTAAATCCTTAACTCTCTCACACATAATTGAGCCTAACTTGAATTATCTTGTGATAGTGTGAGTTCATCATCTCCTAGTGATTTCAAATTGTGTAAAACCATTGTTAGGAGAGTGAAAGTAAGTGCTTCATTACTCATAATCATTACTTTGGTATTGGGTTACTTGGTTGGTCGATCTCCGTGGAAAATCGACGTTGTGTAAGAGGTTAGGCAAAGCCTCGGGTAGAAAGATTCGCCTTCTTGTAAGAGGAGTGATCGTGCTAAAAAGTCGATCGAATAGTGAAAGAGGTCGAGAGGCGGAATATCTCGGCGACAGTGGATGTAGGCAAATTTATTTGTCGAACCACTATAAATCTCGTTTGCATCTCTCTAACTCTATCTCTTTAATTTCCGCACTTTAAATTTGATTGCTGACATTGATTGTTTTAACTCGTCGTGATAAGTTTATTGAACTTTTTTTTGATATTAGATTGGTCCATCCTGTGTAAATCAAGTGGTTGTGCTATTGCATTAACTTACATAATTTTTTGTACACCAAGTGTTTGTTAAAAGTACCTTGTTCAATTAAGTGTCTATATTTAGTTTTAATCTTCGAATAATCGTATAAACTCTCAAAAAATATTCAAAACCCAATTCACCCCCCTCTTGGGTAGCCTTATTCGGGACAACAATAAGTACACTATATTTTTTAAATTGAAAATATCAAATTGATTTAAAGGGTATATTAGTACTTTTATACTTTTTCATTCCGATTCTGGGTGTAAGTAAAAGTATGAATGAGATTTGGAATGACTCCGATTCCGAATCTTATCACTAAGTAAACAGCTTATTTTGACTCCGATTCCTCACTCTGAATCCTACCCACTCCAAATTCTACCCACTCCGATTCATGCTCATTCCGATTACGTGTAGGTAAACATACCATAAGTTCAGTAATTCTCTCCTAAAATAATTGGGTGTCATTGTTGTCTTTTATTTTCTCCTTATTAATTGAATGATAATTATTTATTTTTTAATGAAGGGACAAATAATATTCTTATTATCTTGAGTGGTATTTCTGATTTTTTTCATAATTACTAAACAATGTATCGTGCATATATAGGCTTGTATGTGGAAAGATACGGTTACGAGGCTATCATCTAAAAACATAAGAGGCATTTAGTATGCGGTAATGTACAAGAATCATATTACTGGAAAAGTGATAAAATGTAATATAATTTTTAGAAAATATGTATTACCACGTTTGCTTATACATGGGAATCTTTTCTCATATTTTTGAAAAAAATTATTTTATTGTGTTTAGCTGGTACAAAGTAATGTAATATATTTCTTCTTTACCAATAACTAATTTTAAATATTTTAAACACTAAAAATTGGATTATTCTAAAAAAACACAAAAAAATCTTTTTAATTTAAGGAATAAATTTATAAGCCGCTCTTCAAAAAAAATCTTAATAAATTTTTAAAATCTAAATTTAAGTAAGAATAACACAAATATTAAGTTAAAAAATTACAAAATAAAAAATCTTCTTCTTCTTCCCAAACTAATAGTTTGTGTTTGTTTTCTACAAAAAAATAAGCAGCATTTTCCTCTGAGCAGCAAAATTACGTACAATTGGAATTGAGAGAATCAACAATCGGGAAAATCACAATCTCTCTCTCTCTCTCTCTCTCTCTCTCTCTCTCTCTCTCTCTCTCTCTCTCTCTCTCTCTCTCTCTCTCTCTCAACGCGAGAAACACACACTCTCTCTCTCTCTCTCTCTCTCTCTCTCTCTCTCTCTCTCTCTCTCTCTCTCTCTCTCTCTCTCTCTCTCTCTCTCTCTCTCTCTCTCTCTCGTTGAAGAGACGGAGATCGTCAAGTGTAGTGGGTTTTAGATTGCAAAGTTCAATAATTTTTTTTACCCCGTTTTGTGTCACGATGGATGCACTTTTTGCGGATGAAATGCAACAAAATGATTACAAGCTCATGGGTTTTAGATTGCAAGTTCAATAATTTCCTTTTACCCCGTTTTGTCTCACGTTGGATTGATATGGGTTTGTAGCCTTGAAATTGATTTTGGGAGAATTTGAAAATTTTGTTTCTTAGTTTATCAATCCATCTCAAAAGTTTAAGCTATTGTGAGGTGCGCTAATAATAGTTTTATACTTTAACATTCCCTCTCACATGTGGACTGGACAATGAGCAATCGTGTAGGTAAATTATATATTATAGACCCAACACATGATAACAATTTAAATGGGGATAAAGAATGCAATTACGGGGGTTTGAACTCACGACCTCCCACTCTGATACCATGTTAGTTTACCAATCCATCCCAAAAACTTAAGCCATTAGAATGTGAGCCAACAATAATTTTATACTTTAACATTGTTGGTGAGGAAAGGCCGGTGCACATTTTGGTTTGGGAGAAGAACAATGGTGTGTTGGGTGTGATTGCCATGCTTGTTAGATTGATGGGAATCTGTTATTCGGATTACCTCATTTTGGAGTAAAATAAATCTCATGGAATTGATATTCTTGGGAATATGAAAATCACAATTCTTGTCCCAAACATATAAATGTGAGAAGATTTTCATTTCCACTCAAAAATTATCTCATACTAAACGCCCTTATATGCCACAAGCTATGAAACTAGGATGGCATTTTGTCATTGATAAGACCGTAAGTGTCTTCAGTTAGAAAAATGACTTATCTTGACTTTTGGAGCAGGCCTAGGAGTAAAAACATTGATATATACTTAGCATGCATATATATTGGATTAGAATAAAAGTGTCACTGGTTTTATCAATAATTATGTTAAATTAAATTGATTTACTTTGATAACCATTTATGTAATGATCATCATCTTGAAATGGATATTTGAGTTCATGTCTACCGCTATATCTTTAATATATCGAAGGTAGATATTTATATGACTAAAGATTCTCATCCCGATAGGTTGGAGATATGACTTTTTTAAGTGTTGAAAGCATAGTTCACAAATATGAAATCCATGGCCCTTCCAAAAAAAAAAAAAGATGTTGGAAGAAGTAAAAGGAAGAGCATGTTATTAAAACTGGATCATATAAAAAGTGAAAGGAATGACACCTTCCTTAAAAACAATTGATGGAAAAGTGAAAAAAAAAAAAAAAAAAACATCTAACAAAAACAGAAAGATGATACTTTTTAGACTAGTGTATAAATCTGTTAGGACTTTAGC